TTGAGGACGAAAAATGTCGTACTTTATGCTAACAGCGCTTTTTGGTGTTCACCCTGAAACAGTGTGAACATCAAAAAAGAGCGCTCGGTTCATCATTTTACAGAGACAAAGCAAGCTCTACCAGATGGTCGAAGGAAAGTTGCACCAAGCTCATTCTTCGTAAAATCTAAAGCGAAAGTCCAACAGGTTTCAAACACTCAAAAAATCAAAAAACCAGATCTTCTTTCAAAAAAACCCCCTAAGGCATGCTCATGCATATACTCTCAATGTCAGATGTTCATATGAATAGTTGCTGTATTTGTTCTATGGCTAGGAATCGAAAAAGCATTATGCGTCAAGGTGGTGGGGCTATGAATTGTTTATGGGTTGAAGCGTAAAGCTCCAGTTTTGATAGGTTAGAAAATATGTATATCTTGTTTTTTGGCTAAAGCTAATGTTCCTCACCGTGGCGACAGTCGCTCCCCCAATTTGCTACCCTCCAGGAGGAGCCCCTTTTCTGGTCCGCCACTGCTAAAAAGGACTAAAGGACTTCAAATTAACTAACTTTCAGGTCACGTCATTTTTGATCTACCAGCCCGTAAGTCTAGGCTTATGCAGCAGTTTGGAAAATCTCTCTTTAAATATCAAAGCAAATTGTTAAGAAACTCGCTCTAGTTTCTTCAGCTTCGAAAAATTGAGGATTTCTTTGAATCGATCAATTACCAATTACGATTTGTCTAATGTTTTGCTGAATGGGAGGCTGTGACAAGGGAAAGAGCTTTACGATCAGTCTATTCAAGCTGTCGCAGAAAAAATCCTCTCAAGTTTCATCTGCTTTTATTCTTCATCCAGGGTAATTGCCAAAAAAGCGCTTGGGGTAATACTTTACAGAGCAGAGCAAGCTGTACAAGAAACTTAAACAGTGGCACCAAAATCATTTTACTTGAATTTTGAAGCCAAGGTTGCAAATGTCCAAATTGAGAATAATCTATCTTCTTGCATACAAATTGCTATGACCCCTCCCCCGCCCTCCCCCACTTGCAGAGATATACTGTCTACCAGACATTCATATGCGTAGTTGCTGTATTTTTTCTTTGAAATAAAAAAAACGAGAAATTTCACGCATTTTTATACAATTGCTGAGCTTTTCATACACAAGTAAATGTGCACTACTAACCTTTGCGAGCATAGTTATGAATTTCCAGACTTTTTACAAGGGTTTATTGTTTTTAGAAATATTGAATCCTACCCTTCTTTACGGACTTTTTAAGGTTTGGATATTTTTTAAAGAAGATATGTTTTTTCTTTGATTTTTTGAGTAATTTCAAATTGTTGGACTTCCGCTTTAGATCTCACAAAGAATGTGATGATTAAGATCCTAGACTGCAGGTTGGGAGTTGAATCTCATTTGCTATCATCCGCTCCTTGCTTGATCTTTGATGCTTTGATGTCAGTGAACACTAAAACGGATCTGCAAATCTGCAAAGACTGCAAATATGATGGATCGGAGAATTAAAGGAGATTTATAATCTCTTACCTACGTCAGCATCACCTTTCGCGTTGTCTGCAATTTGCTATTTTCAAGATAAATCGTACGCCATTGTGTCTTTCCGTTTTATCCACAACAATCAAGTCTTTTTTACATGGTCGGAAGAGCAGTAAAAAGTTTCAAGAACACTTATTTTCATATAATATTAGGTCGTGCAAATGCAGAGGTCTTGTCATTTTTTTCCACCGGCAAGTATGGTAGAATAAAAATAAACAAACATTTCAAGCTGTTTTCGCTGCAAACTTTCTTCCTTTTTCCAGCTGCTATGTTCCCAGCGTGATTCGTAGAGTGCTGGAATAATTGCTACATTAAGCAACCCTTCATTTATACGGTGTCCAAATATCGCTAATTTTCAAAATTTTTGTATAAGACTTCCGGGAAAGCTTCAGCAGCCAGCGAGTAGGGCAGACCTTTTGCCGGTTGAGCTCTTTTGCCGGTCTTCTTTTTTAGCTACTCTTTTAGAATTTAGCTGAATAATCTTTCAAAACTTTTGAGTTTCAAAGAACTGCATCACTTGTCATTGCACCAAACAATGCAAAATCTTCAGAATACTGAGGATTCAACAATCGATGATTGTTATCACTAACCTTAGAAAGTAAATAAGAGATTTTTGCTTCAGAAAGATTTTGAACTTAAGGTACGTCAATGCGCACTCCCGAAATTGCAAATTTGCGAGTTTCGCCAAGAAAGGAAAATTATTGGAAAGAGGAGAAAAAGTTGCACGCCATGTCCCTGGATTGTTTAATTTTATGTTCTACAAGGTCAGCACAGCTGAATTGAGAATTTAGTTATCTTTGAAGACAAATACTAGGAACTCTGAAAGACAAGCCGCAGAGCTACAAAAATTGCTTCAATTGGCAAAAGGTTTGTTTTATTTGCTGGCTATCAAAGCTCCACCAAAAAGCCCAGATAAAAAATTCTGAAAATTAGCGAAAGTCAGACATAGTGAAAACGAAGGTTTGTGATGTCCAGCAATCTCAGCGCTTTTTTAAAAAATCACTTTTGCGTCGGATACAATTTGAATTATTGATTTAGTTTTACTGTGCCGGATTTGCCGCTCATTTCAAAAGATTTTTCGAACCGCCCTAATGTATCTTGCATGCAATGTACATACAACATCCTAAGGCAAGTTTTCGAGTTTTCGCCCTCCCCTAATGTTTATGGTTATTCTCTCTTAAGACACTTCATATGTCTCGTTATTCGCTCATGCCATTAGTTTTATGTGCTTTGAATGTTGATGAGACTGCCTGCTTCTGCGTTTTCTGTTTGTCTTTGCCTCTGTCTTTAATTCGCTTCCAATATAGCATGTCCATTAGTTCTATATGACTTTAACGTAGTTTGAAACAACATCTAAGGACTGGTTTCAGTGGTGTGATAGCCCTTCCAAGGACTTTTGAACAGTGCGGCAGGAACGCTTTCAAGCTTTGAAAGATTTACTGGTAGATCTCCTACTATTTTCATCACTTCCATACTTGAGTACTCCAAACTTCTATGACTTCATGTCGCAACATTGAACGTTGTCTTATTTGTACAACAAGCTGATTTTTGGTAAACGTGCCCAAAACACAGATTTTGCTGATTGATTTCTGAAAGCTCCAAATCAAAGTCTTTTTTCTTCCCATCAGTGACTAATAAACCCATGCCGCTTCTCTTTTCTTTTAATAGAACTTTTACTTCCAATTCTTTTTGACAATCTCTTATCCATCATAGCTGTAAAAGAAGCTCACACTCTTAGTTCTCAAATGCAAATTTCATCAGTCAAGTGCAGTTGAACCGGATCCACAATTCGCATCAATCTTCGCAAGATAAACTCAGTCTGAAACGCTGCTATCCTTCAAATATGGCTAGCATTTTGATCCATCATAAGTCCGTCTGTCACGCTCTTTCAATGGACGAAAACCCAACAGTCACGATCGCTTGCTGTCAAATGATAGTATTTTTGCAACTTTTCTGATTTTCTCTATATTTATTGCTTGTCACGTTAAATAAGCCAGGATATAATTCACATTCTGAAGTTACTAAATTGGACTTTTTGATGGGATCTAATCCCTCCAGATTTCGGACTCTGTATTTCTTTTCTAGTTCTTTTCATATTATTGCCGGCTCATATCTTTATCTATTTATGTATTTATTTTTATGTGTTACGCACAAGGAGAAAAGAGAAAGCAAGAAAAACAACCATCAAGGAGCTGAAGTCCAGCTCCCAAAGAGTAGAATCGAACGTTTTAGGCTTGTTTATGGCATTTACGAATTCATCTCATTGGTGTAAAGGCTCAATGCTCAATATTTTGATATTGTTCAACATTGAGACCTCCTCAAAATGAGGCCTAGACTAAAAACCTTTCACAATCTCATAAATTTTCCCATATCTTGCCTAGAAGTAAGTTTGATTGTCTCTAATCCATCTGATGTTCTACAAGATTTGGGATAAACAAACATCAAATTTAGTAGCAACAAAATGGTGATTTCAAAAAGCAAAGCCAGCTATCAATCTCAAAAAAATTTACATTGCATTATCTTATCTAATTGCTATTAAAGCATTTTCAAAAGTGCAGAACGGAAGTAAAAAAAACAGAAATTAGGGTAGGTAAAAACCATGGGTGAAAATTCTGACAATTTTTCAACGATTGAAAGGACCCGAACAAAACCATTACCGCTGGAAAGAAGAAGAAATTTTGCATAGAACACTCCTTAGAATGTTTGTTTAGCTTCATTCTAAATGTTTGAGGATAGATCCAAAAACGACACGAGCTTTCGGACCCACCTAATACTTCCTGCAAATGAGTATGTACCTTCTTCAATGTTTCTGAACATCCACAATTTGTAAACAAACTAGAGGTCCTTATTTGTGGTTCAAATCAACAACTCAATTTCATATACATCCAAGCTGCAAGGCTTTTATTGGGTAAAGAAAGTGGATCTTACAAAGTCATACACTTGTATCCAAGTTCGATTGGACTTTCTAGCATCTTTTGTATAAAAATCTGTAAAAAATACGCTCGGCATCTTTATCCATGAGCTTGTATTGTCTTGATAGACTAAATCTGATTTTTGAGTAGAGCACTAGTGAGCGCAAGAATTTCTTCAGTATAATTGAAGTGATAAGAAAATTCCAAATAACACAAAATTCTGGCGCAAAACTTACAGACCAACCTAATATCTACATTATTTTTGTTATTTATTACATAGGTTATCCTATAAAAATTGAATTAATTTCCTTAACCAAATGCTTTATACCACTCAAAATATTTGTTTCTTTGTAATTTTTCTTGTATAATTTCGTGTGCCTTGTGTTCTGCGTTTCATTGTTGATCCTTTTTGTTTTCTGTCCAATCCAGTTCGTTATGTTCTAGCCTTCCTTTCGCATTCGTCCATTCGTTTCCCGCCCAGCCATTTTATTCGCTAAGAACTCCTGTTTTTTCTTTCATTTTTATCATTAACGTAAAACTAATTCCCATTTTCCAGGCGAGTTATGGACGATGAAACGTCGTCATCACCATCGAATAGCATTGACGTAAAGCCACTTGTGAAGGTGAAACGTATCGTCGAATCATTGGTAACCTAATGTGAGCCTGCACACAGCGTGCGGTAACCTGCGGCACCTTTATCAGCAATTTCTCAGTAGACCGTTTTGCGTTTGGCGTAACAAACTGTAAAATTCTGTATTAACTTGATATCCTGAAGCTCCAGATGTTTGAATTTTACGCAGCCTAGCTATCCGTAAGCATTCCTACTGTCCTTCGCTATAGTGAACAGGAGCGGGAAGTTGTAGAAGTCGTATTCTTCAGCTTTTTGCACGACATCCTGTTGATCACCGGCGGCCGACCTTCTTTTCTTTGATGTCATTTTGCTTTCTTCGAAGTTGGTGAAAACATTCCAAAACTGCATAGATTATCTAACCCAACAATGATAAGCATATTTCTGATGCGAACAAATGATATGTCGAAGTCACAAAAATTGCGACGAACCACTAGCCGAAAGTTGGGGTTTATCAAAAATTTACATATTTCAAAAAGTCACTTGCTCTTATGGTTTTGGCCATACTTTACCCGTGTTACCCGTGTTACCGTGTTACTCGTGTTACTCACCAGTTAGTGATATTGCGTTTTGAAATGAAACTGTATTGTGATTATACTATTTAACAGCAATAAAAGCGGTAACACTAGTAAAACCAATAACACGAGTAACACTGGTAACACCGGTAACACGGATAAAGTATGGCCAAAGCCTACGAGAAACATGCTAGCTTTGTTGGGTCAGGTAATCAGTACAACACTGAATGTTTGCTTTACTTTGAAAGAAGGAGATTGGCTTTGAAGATTAGACGGTCGTTCGCTGGGGATCGTCAGGGATCTTTGAAAGAAAGCTGGAAGATGCCCCCTTATACAACTTCTTGCTCCCGTTCAATATGCTTCTAGCGGAGGATAGTAGGAATGCTTACGGATAGATAGGCCGCGTGAAATCCAGACATCTGAAGCTTCAAAATATGAAATTTTCTGTTAAGCTGCGACCCCCTCGCCAGCAGAGCTGTTAGCGCACGCGGCCCTAATACAGGGTAGGGCAAAAGTCTGGGAGCCTAGTACTTTTTTTAGATAAAATCAGAAGGAAAGTGCCTAGGAACAAAAAATTCGGTGCACACATAAACCGGACCTTTACGAATACAGCGCTGTTCTCAATTTTTGAGATTGCCTCTTCTGGCTTCGAAGCAGCCCTTCGAAATCTTGGCGAATTCGCCTGTCGTGGCACGCAGACAGTCATGATGAAATTTGTCCCACGCCTTTACGATAATTGTTTCTTTCACCAGGCAAATGTGCGGTGTGATAGAGCAAGCTTTTGGCTACAACGTACTGCGAAGAAGTTTTTTTTGCAATGTTTAGGAGAAAATTTTAGAATTTTAATTGAAGGCAAGTGTGCAATGTATACTGGAAATCTGGATGCGATGGCGCGAACGGGAGCGAAGAATCGTAATCTGAAAAGTATTGAAATTGCTTGATCGATCGAACTCAAGTATATATTTGCATAGAAGACTCGTGGAAAGAATATAGCCTAGAATTCAGTGCCTGCTGTGCTCCTATAGCTTTCAAATTTATTTAAAAAAAATGGCCACTGGCACGCAGGTAGCATTCGCAAATTTTTATTTTGCATTTTCGAAGAATAACATCTGACAAACGCAACCACTACGAATAGATAGCGCAAAGTCTCCTCTACATTGTGTGCATCGAAGCGCTCTGGAATATGCACTGTTTCTTTAGCTACGAAATAAGTTCTGGAGACCAAAAATTTCGGTTTTCTTGCTTCAAGGAGCACTTGTTTGATAAATCTAACTTCTACAAAATCATATGGCAAGCATTTTTAACCAGCCAAAGTGTCATTTGTAGAAGATGATCGCAGCAATATGTGACACAAATTTAGAGTCAAAATCATCAATAGTTTCTTGATATACAGCACTGCAAAGTAGGCTCCCAGACTTCTGCCCCACCCTGTACATATCCAGTCAAACAAAAAATGCAAAGAAACAAAGGATATTACTTGAAAACGGCGGATTTTGGTCTTAGAATTTCGTCAAGTAGCTCGCATGGTGTGCAATACGCACATTATGTTGCAAACGATTCGAGTAGCTTTTTTGAGTCTAATTTCAAACACCTTGAAGGTGCCCAGAAATCGAGAAGAGAATCGGCTCTATAAGCGTGATTTCATTGACGACAATAATGTGCATTTGTCATACTTCAACTTCCGCATATTCTGGCCTGTCGCCATCTTTTCTGTCACTATGTACACCTGTTTCATGGGTAAGTCTTTCCACTAAAGCTCATGTTCCGGTTCCAGATTTTCTAAAGTATGCTTTAACGGTGTCGTTAGTTCTGCGCCATAAATCGTTTTGAAAAATCTTAAAAAGGCTTCAACATCTGTGCTAATCTTTGATATACAGTGACCGCCAAAAAGTTGCGGACAAGCCTCCCTCCCTTTTTCATCGCTCTTTTTCAGAGGGAAAACAAGGATGAAAAAATGTAATAATTGCATGAGATGATAGAGCTCTTCAAGATCTACAATCTACACTTTGAGTTTTTTGAGAAACATGTGATTTAAAAATTTTAGGAATCTTTTTCTAAAAATAGTCCGAAAATGGCCGCGTCACAATGTCGTGGACAATAATTCTTCGAACGCAAAAATTTTCTTTTGAGTCCTATTTCAAAGCGGAAACACAAGTTACCCGGACGGGTAAGCATACTACTATACAGAGCTCGCCAAGAACTACACACTGGTTATGGTTGCTTCCCCAAAAAACGCAAGCTTGAGTTTTATTTCAGTTTTTTCAAAAAACAACTTCTAATTTCCTTTATTAAGCCAAATTTCTTCAAACGGAAACCTGTTCAAGACTTCCCAACAAAGCCGTCTGGATAAAATAGATGCTCTTTGCCATCCTCTATGCATCGGACGTGTGCTGATGAGTTTCTTGAAAATGAAAATGGCCTTTGACAGTGCTTGCATATGACCCCACCTGCACTCACCACTGACTTGTACCGCTTTGCAGGCTTGTAGCTCGGCCTGCAGTCAATATTTGAGCCTACAATTAGGCACGTTTGAAAGAACGAGGCTTTCTCTACACGATAGTATGCAAATAAGTTCAGTTTGAGCAATCCCAGAGATTTGGCGGATGGGGTGGTAGAGGCAGCTTCAGTTGTAGTCCAAGCACTTTTCAGCTAAAGATGAAGAGAGCTCCTTTCGCTACCAATTTCATACTGGAAGTTCAATAGTGTCAATTTTTTGTAATAGATCCATTTCGAAGCTCTAAGACTGTTCTGGTGTTCATAAGAGCTTTCACTCCAATCACCTCTAAGGCTACACTTTCTCACCCCATCTGCCAAATCTCTGAAATTTCTCAAACTCAACTCATTTGCATATCATCGTGTCCACAAACTCACGCTCTTTCGAATGAGTTTACTTGCAGACTCTTATAGCGTCTGGCGGCCGAGTTACAAGCCTGCAAAGCGGTACAAGTCTGTGGTGAGGTGCAGGTGGGGTCATGTGCACGCACCTTCAAGAGCCGTTTCCAGCAAAGAAACTCATCAGCACACGTCCGATGCATAGAGTATGGCAAAGAGCATCTATTCTATCCAGACGGCTTTGTTGGGATGTCTTGAACACGGTTCCGTGTGAAGAAATCTGGCTTGATAAAGAAAAAGAAGTCGTTTTTTGAAAAAAGTAAAATAAAATTCAAACTTGCGTTTTTGGGGAAGCAGCCATAACCAGGGTGTAGTCCTTGACGAGCTCTGTATACTAGTACGCTTACCCGTCCGGATAACTTGTGTTTCCGCTTTGAAATAGGACTCAAAAGAAAATTTTTGCGTATGAAGAATTATTGTCCGCGACATTGTGACGCGGTCATTTTCGGACTTTTTTTAGAAAAAGACTCTTAAAAATTTTGAAACACAAGTTTTTCAAAAAACTTAAAGTATAGATTGTAGATCTTGAAGAGCTCTATCACCTCGTGCAATTATTACATTTTTTTGATCCTTGTTTTTTCTCTGAAAAAGAGCGATGAAAAAGGGAGGGAGGCTTTTCTGCAACTTTTCTGCGGTCACTGTATATGCTGGATTTGTGTACAGGTTGGCTAGAAATAAATTTCATTTTGGCAAGCAAATCTTCAAAGAAACTTTTCCGTTTTTTGCTTATGTTTTTATGCAGAGATGTAATTCAAACTTTCTACCATCACTTATCATACTCAGAAATTGTAGTAGAACGCGTTGAGTCGTTGACAATTTATTAGAAAAACACAAGAGTTCCCCCTCTGCCTATCGGCGTACATGTCGAGGGTTCACTAGGAATAGTTCCCTAACAACACGCAATTATATCAAAGTGCGGCGGGTACGCCGCAACCACAGAGACCATATCGACCTAGCCTATAGTGAGCGAGCAAGTTCCAATATAAGGGACGGCTCTACAACACCTCCCTCCTAAGATGAACAACGGTACATCTTACAAAAAGGATCTACTTGTAGACGTTCTGGTGGGCGACGATGGCGATTGGTCTAATTGATGACGTAGTTGAAGTTGCATGGCGTTCAGCGATGTCCATGCCATTGTCCGATCGGTCTTCTTCGGAACGCATGGTGTGCGATGAGTCACGACGGCGATCCATACTTGATCCACTACGCATCTGGTTCGCATGTCGTCTCCATAACTGGTTGTCTTCCGTAAGCACATCGTATACGGCTTTTCCGTAGCGTTTCTTCACACGCGCTGGAATCCATTTTTCACATCCAGAGCGAAAATCACGTACCCACACGTCTTCTTGTGGTTGGTACGCTTTCTTCCGTGCTCCATGATGACTGTTAAACTGCTTCTCCATGGTTTCATTGGCCAACTTTCTTTCTTCTTTGGAATTTTCATCTAACAGCGACAGCGGTGTCCTTATCTGACGTCCCAGCAACAGTTCGGCCGGCGAACGTTGTCTTAGAGCAGTTGTACAAGGCGTCCGTCGATAAGACTGCAGAAACTCCGCGAGCTTCTCTGCCGTTCCTCCCTCCTTAATTTTCAGGAAGGTTCTCTTGAAAATATCCACAAACCTCTCCGCTTGTCCATTTGATTGTGGATGGAATGGAGATGAACGTATATGCTTGATTCTTCGCTCTTTACAGAAATCTTGGAACTCCTTTGCTGTGAACTGCGTCTCATTATCCGACACGATCACCTGCGGATTTCCAAATCGAGCGAATAGAAATCTGGGTTCTCTCAGGATAGCTGTAGTTGATGATGAAGGCATCTCAAACACTTCTGGCCATTTCGAGTAAGCGTCAACTACGACGAGATACATCTTGCCATTCAGCGGCCCTGCATAGTCAATGTGAAGCCGATTCCATGGTTTCTCTTCCATTTTCCATGAATGCAGTGCAGTCTTCACTGGCATCTTGGCTGCTTTTTGACATGCCCTACAGCGGCGCACTAAGTCCTTGATGTCTCTGTTGGTGCCCTTACTCTTCGTGCACTTTCCTGGGTCGCTGTTGAAGACTTCCCCATACTTCTTCTTCAAGTCGGCGACCACTTCGGCTCGGATTTTCTCTTCGCTAGTCACCTTTCTGCAATAGAAGTCGCCCTTTAGCTTTTTGTATGCCGGCAGCTGGATACACCATTCCAGTCCTAGTAGATTCGAGCCTTCAGTGACGTAGCATGTGCCATTTCCATGAAGCATCTTCCCTGTAACTCGATCTCTGACGGAAAAGTCGGTTGAGAATTTACCATATATCTTCATCGACGTCCCGCCTGCAGTTTTCACGGGCATCACACAGGGTTCCAGAGCCGGGGATCCCATCCTCTTCCAAGCTCTGCGTGATATCAGCGTTATATCTGCACCTGTGTCCAGCTGAAGTTTGAGATTACATCTTCTAGCTACGACGTCGAGGTAGGTCCGCGCGCTCTCGGCGTCGAAAGCGACCACATGTTTGCACTGTCTTCTGCGGCCAAACTGCGCTCCTGTCTTCCGCCGCTTCTTCCGACCAGTGTTGTCGGATTGTGGACAGTCTCTTCTGAAATGTGGTCCTCCGCACGTGAAACAAGTTACCTCCTTTTTCTTCCACACTGCATGGATGTCGCGCGTGCCTTCCATGTCCGTGTTATCCATTTTCAAAGCAGTGAAATTCTCACACTCCGCGACTAGGTCCTCGATTGTCAACGGTGCTTCGTCCATGTGAGCGTCCAGTCGACGAATCATCCGAAGGCGCACTTCCCTAAGTGAGGGATCTTGAAGACCTGCTACGAACTGCAGCGTCTTCATCGCCGTGTAGTCAACCTCTTTAAGCCGGGCATCCTCGTCCATCCGCTTGATAGTGTTGGCGTACTCGCGGAACGGTACGTACGCTGGCGTAAGCGGAGGGCAGGTTATCCTCAGGCACTCATACCGTCTCCTGATGAGCGTCTTCTTGGAGGCGAACAGCTTTTGGAGATTTGCTACGGTGGTCTCGAAGTCCAAGTCGCTTGGTTTCGCAGGCAGAACCTCGTCGGCATACTTCCTGTATGCTTCTTCATCCAGCTTCATCAGGATCAAGTCGCGCTTCTTCTGATCCGAAAGCTGGGAGTCGCGAATGATCGGTCCGTACCTGCCATACCAGTAAGCAAAGGTGTTACCTGTTTCTTCGTCTGAGGTAAATCTCTGCACGTCCTTGCTCAGTTGATCATATTGCTCCTTGCTGGCGTCCTGGACGGCTACCCTTTGGTTACTGGTCAAAGCAGTGACCAACGCCTTCATTTGATCCTGTTGTGCTTGCAATTGCACTTGCATTTGCTCCTGTTGTGCCTGCGACTGCATTTGCATTTGCTCCTGCAGAGCTTGCGTCTGCATTTGCATTTGCTCTTGTTGAGCTTTCCATTGTGCTTGCATATGCTCCTGTTGAGCTTGTAGTCGGGCCTGCATCTGTTCCTGTTGAAGCTGCATATGCAGCTTCATCTCCTCCTGTTGGAGCCGCATCTGGTCGACCATGACCGATAGGACCTTTTCCAGAGATTCGCCATGCCGCTCTTCACTGGCTTTCGGCATGGTAGACCTCTCTGGTGTCGACGAAGTCTTCTGCTAAATCGATAAGCTTCTCAGCAAAGCTTACTTGTCTGGCTGTCCTCGACCACTGACAGCTTCTTCCTTGATTCGAGCTGCAGCGCTTCTTCTCCTTGGTCGGTGGAGGCTTCCGGTCCTTGTCGATCGAGCTTCTTCTGTTCCTTGTCGATCGAGCTTCTTCTGGTCCTTGTCGGTCGAGCTTCTTCTGGTCCTTGGTCGGTGGTGGTCTTCTTGTCCTTGATCCTGATCGCCAGTTGTAGTAGAACGCGTTGAGTCGTTGACAATTTATTAGAAAAACACAAGAGTTCCCCCTCTGCCTATCGGCGTACATGTCGAGGGTTCACTAGGAATAGTTCCCTAACAACACGCAATTATATCAAAGTGCGGCGGGTACGCCGCAACCACAGAGACCATATCGACCTAGCCTATAGTGAGCGAGCAAGTTCCAATATAAGGGACGGCTCTACAACAGAAATATTATCAGTAGAGGGCAGAGATAACATGGCTAAGTTTCCAAAACTACATCACTCTCTTGAGTTTTTAAGCTTGTATCTCATTGCAAAAACAGGGTTATCTCTATTCATCATTTTGAAACTCTTTCATAAAGCGAAATCTTACACCTGCGCATAACAAGAAGATTGGGGTATTTTACTTTTCTGCGCCTCGCCTTCATTGGGAAATAAGTTTTACTCAAAGAAAGATTTGCATTCCAATACTCACAGTGGCGCTATTTTCAGAGATACCAAATGCTGGACAAAAACTTGTTTGCAGCATTTCTAGGAGCCGTAAAGGCCACCGAAATTATACAGGGTGTCCCAAAAAAATGTGAACACTGTTTGATCGTTAAGAACTCCCTTGCTTTCATGTCTTTCGTCGAGCTTGTGGCACCATTCTGTAGAGCGAGGTTCAACTTAGATTTGTAGTATGGAGCGAATCATCGATCGGTGTTCGTTACTGTAGGATTACGGTATGAACTTCTAGCACGTGGATCAGTTGTGAAATATGCCATTTGACAAAATTAATTTCAAAAATTCTAAAAAGTCGTGTACTAGGGTTTTCGCGCACGCTGATTCCACTACACAACTTTTTATAGTGTTTTTAGCTTTTTTGGCGATGTAATCAACTTTCTGACAAATGCTGGAAATTCAGTTATTACGATTTACTTGGGATAACCTTGGAAATAAGCATCACAGTAAAGTAGAAATTTCATATTCGAAATCAGCGGCTTCCATTACCATAGTATAAGAGTTTTTGGCTTGTTTGGTTTTGTTCCGAGGCAGAATATGGCTTCTAATGGCCTAAAATCCTTGCCGAAGTTCCTACCCTAATTCTACAGTAATGAGTGACGATCGGTGATTCGCTCCATACTACAAATCTAAGTTGAGCCTCGCTCTACAGAATGGTGCCTCAAGCTCGACGAAAGACATGAAAGCAAGGGAGTTATTAACGATCAAACAGTGTTCACATTTTTTTGGGACACCCTGTATATAAGGCAACCTATTATCACAGATTCCATTTGAAGCAGTGAGAAAATAAAATTGGAGAATGTTGTATGTTGTAGAATTTGACCTGCATTAGGGTTTTGAAACAGTGAAAATGTGAAAATTCAGGTTCTGCCTTAAAAATTGCGCGTGACAATGGCTACATGCTGCAATCTATTGCTAATCATAAAACTTTGAAGTTCGCCAGCAATAACAGTCACTCGCGCGACGTGAAAAATAAGGTATTTCCATGCATACTCATTATTTTTGATGCAGTTAGCTCAGCAATCATACGATGTTTGCGAGCATAATAACGAGATGAAGCCATAGTGGTGAACATCCCGAATGACGCATTAAGAAACACTTAGTGAGGAACCGATTGTATGATGTCGAGTGTCTTTCGAAAAACTGTTTGTTTGCGCATAGTGAAAAATAGGCGAGTGCGCGAAGATAGGGGTGCTATACCAATTGCAAATTCTGTGTTGGCGTTTTATATATTGGAGAGACGTGTAGAATGTTGAAGGTGAGAATAAAGGAGCATTTAACGAATAAGAGGAGAGCGTCAATGTCATCGTTGGGAAAACATAAGATTGATCAGCATTTTTTTGCACAAAAGAAGTAGCAAATGAAGCCTATATTGCTGGCTTGTCAAAATCAACGCCAAATTTGCCATTTAGCATTCTTCACAACCAGTATTTGATATGCAAAAAATCGCCAATCTTGATAGGCGTAATTATCAGTTCTTATTTGCACCTACTATGCTAACAATAGTTTATACCTCATACTTCAGCTGCTAGAGAACAAATCCTTTTATAAATTTTGAAAACTCTGCCTTTCTTCAAAAATGCTTTTCCATTTATAAGAATGAAATGAAAAAAGTTTAAAAAAATAAAAAAATCTCATTCAGGACACTTAGGAGTTTGAATAAAAATAGTCGACAGCAGACAGACAGTTGTTGCTCCAATCAGCAGCTCAATACTTTACGTATATTATTATTAGCGTGTTATGCTGGAGAATTGCAGTCGGCGTAATTGGATCATTGTATATGGATGATCTACCCACTCCAATAGAATTACGCAGAGCATTCTGGACACGATATGGATCCTTTCGATTGAGATGCAACGCAAGTGCAGCCAAAACTGAAAGTTTTAACAGTTACGTGATGATTTACAGACGACGATACCATTTCCCAAAAACGCGCTTCCATCTATCCTGAATCTTTTCGAAATCAATGTCGTCGGGAATGTTATGATGCGATTGTGTGCTTGTCTACCTATTGCGGTCCGACTTTTCGTAATCTATTGTAGAAGGTAAGAGTTTTGTTAATGCTGTTTTTGAAACTTTACTTTGAAGGCTGTGTCCAGACTTAGTCACCTGAATTTTTTGTATAGAACACTGATTAGGAGGCTTTAGTCCAAGTCATGGCCCAAGCAGCAGTTCGTATAAACAACCCATGCCCAAATTATTGGACTCCACACCCTAAGCCTGACCGCAGTCTTTACAAGCGGACCAGTCAGTGAATTGCGTTAGAAGTACGGTCTGGACTGTTGTTTAGAGCCGCATGCACTAACCCCCCGCCGGGGAGGGGCATCGTAGTTCAGGAAAACCTGCATATTCTGAAGCTCTAGATATCTCGGATTTCACGCTGTCTATCTATCCGTAATTATTCCTACTATCCTTCACTATGAACATATTGAAAGCAGCGAGAAGTTAGAAGTCTCAGTTTTCAGTTTTTATATGATCCCTCGGTGATCCCCACTGCCGACCGTCTTCTCATTACAATCATTTCTCTTTCTTCGAAATCAGTAAAAACATTTTGAAGTTGTACTGATCATCTAACTCAACAGCTAATCAGCTAATTTCTGGTAAAAACAAATGATGTTTCGAAGTCATGAATTTTGCGATGATCCTCAAATCGAAAGTTGGGGTTTATCGATTCGATTCAATAACTCATTTGTTCTTATTAGCAACATGCAAAGCACTGTTGGAGTAGAGAATCAGTGCAATCTGGAATGTTTTCGCTAACAAAGAAAGAAAATAATTTCAAAAAAGACGGTTGGGCGCCAGTGATCATCAGGGTATATCATATAAAAAGCTGAATAATGGGATTTGTGGAGCTTCTCGCTTGTGTTTAATATGTTTTTAGTGAAAGATAGTAGGAATACTTACAGATAGGTTAATGTCGTAAAATCGAGACATCTGGTCTTTCAAACTGCGATTCCGTCCACGGTGGTGATGTTAATGCATGCGACCTTAGGGCCGCATGTACTAACAACCCTGCTGGGGAGGGGTCGCAGCTCAGAAGAAAGCTTCAAATTTCGAAGCTTCAGATATCTAGATTTCACGCTGTTTACCTGTCCGCATGTATTCCTACTATCCTTCACTATGAATTTGAACAGGAGCGAAAAGCTGTACAAGCCGCATTTTCCAGCTTTTGTATGATCCCTGACGATCCCCGGCGCTTTCCTTCAAAGTCATTTTTCTTTCTTTGAAGTCAACGAAAATTTTCCAAAGTTGTACTAATTAACACAACAGTGCTAAGCATGTTACTGATGAGAACAAATAAGTTTTTGAAAAATCGAATTTTCGATAAACCACAACTTTCGACATGGTCCATCGCAAATTTCATGACTCCGATACATCACTTGTTTTTATCAGCAACATGCTAAACAGTGTTGGGTTAGATAATCTGCGCAACTTTGGAAACTTTCCGTCAACTTTGGAGAAAGAAAAATGACTTCAAGGAAAAGCGCCGGTGATCATCGGGGATCATACAAATGTTGAAACTGCGGCTTGTACAGCTTCTCGCTGCTGTTCAATGTGTTCTTAGTGAAGGATAGTAGGAATACTTACAGTCACGTACACAACGTGAAATCCAGATATCTGGAGCATCAGGATATGAAGCTTTCTTATAAGCTGCGATACCCTCCCCGTTAGTGCATGCGGCCCTGAGAGTCGAACTTTTTAACCAAATGATTCACATAAGCTGCAGCGTGGGTAGTGGCTTAGTTAAATCCTCTAATCAGTCTCCATATAGTAGACTCGCATCCAATTTTTTTCCTGAACAATGCTTTTGTAATCATCTAAAGGAGAAAATAAAGCTTAGGTAATGTCACCAGTTATAAGATTTTGTGATTATGCAGGACCCTCATCCAGAACGACTTGGAGAAATCATCCTTCATTCACAATCTCATAAACGATATGGTTCTAATGTTGACATTTGTTGAGCTGTTCTCGTTGGCATTATTCAGCGTTGTAACTATTCGAAGAGACTCTGCAGGTACAAATTTAGGTGTGCAAGTTTGTCCTTGCCCCTTTCCCTTTTGCTTTATCGATGTATGCATTTTACCGTATTGCGTTGAGGGATTACATCAGGTTGTTCCAAAAGGTTCGTCGGTTTTTCAAATTAGAAAATCTCATATTCAATCGCGCTCAAACATGCATTCGATGAATGTTTTCTCTTTTGATGGTTACCATTTCGAGTCAAAATCTTCTGAATGCTTCTATTAAAAGATAACAAACAGTCTAATTTTGGTAAAGTCATGATACACGCAGCTGTAGCAGAAAAATAGAATCGTTGAAGTGTTTGCAAGTTGAAGTTCAAGTGTTAATTGAATATTATTTATGCAATGATCAAATCGCTTTGATGAACCAGCTTTTTGATATTCTCGGGTGTTCCTACCCGGAGTAGGCGGCCATGCGATTTATAGGCAAGCGGGAACCTGAAAAATAGCTTGCTGACTTCCTGCGGTCCGCTTGCCGATATTTGGAAGATTATGGAACATTTTGAGAAACGCTCAGAGAACAATCGCTGCTTTTTCATGGATTAGTTGCGGTTTAGTAGTCGTGCTCCCGTGGACTTTCCGCGAGCCCCGCAGAAAATTCGTATTGCCGCTCGCTGGAACATGCTACAGTAAAGGAAGTATCGCCTGCTGAAGGGCCCAAAATTCTACTGACCGCATGCAAAAAAGCATGAGTTTGCAGTCCGCCTGTCTGGCCATTACCAGAGTACGAGCTAAACATGCTTTAGAAAGCGTTTCCAAATTATAATTGTTGAAGACTACAAAAACTTATTATGTTGTGACGTGGCCAGAATTTTACTCTACACAACAGCTACCACTGCATTTTGAAAACATCGAATCATTCGAGTATAGAGAAATTTTGTCGCTAGTGCTGAACTGCTTAAAGAGCCGTAGCAGTACATCGCAAGGACAGCATAAATCGGAGAGAAAATGTAGCTATTAAAAAGGAAGTAGGAATTCGAAGTGAACAATGCCTCGCGAAACTTTTGGGACGATCTGATATTCTTTTACTAGTCTTTTATGTTGTAACAGGAAAGAATTTCCGCTGCACTGGATTCGGTTTCAATCTTTCCAAAACTTAGAATCTGGTTTGTATTAGCAAAAACTGCATGCGATACTTCACTGCTTCATGTTCGATGCGTCCTGCTAACCCATAGAATAACACTCTTTCTTGTTTCGCTAGAAATTCTTATGGTTGATTGTTTTAGGTATAAATCGCTATTGTAAGACTGCGTTCGCCATATCGGCATCTGTCAATATGCTACTTACATCGGCCGTCGTGTTTGCTCACAAGAAAAATGTGACTAAGGTAACGTTCATGCTTACAAAATGTGGAAAAGGCTCGGCAGAATTGGTTTCACATTCAGAAAAGATGTGTTTTTTTCTTGATTCGTATGATCATCTGTTAGTTTACTACATAAGTTCTGTAACACTTTCTTTGTCTAGCTCTGGAAAACTCGGGAAAAATTGGCGAAATTTATTAACGGGTAGGAAGGGCTATCCTTTGACATCATTTTCGCATTCATGGACTCTCCTACCTGTAAAGGCGAAACTCCCAAGCAGGGCTCGGCACAGGTGGCTTACGAAGCAGGCTGAATATCGTTTACGGATAAAAAACAATGGAAATTTGTTTTTGCGGAATTCGCAGCTGACGTATAAAAGCAAGTATCAATCAGTATGGCAAAAAAATGCCAAATCCTTTGTGCAAATTCTCAGGGATGGAATAAAATTTTCGCTAATTCTTCGATCACGCAAGGCAATCCAACGATGGATTCTTATTTGACACTGATCTAGCAAAAAACTTCAAGGAATGCCAACTTTACGCCCATCAACTCAACAAAATTTCGCACCAGTCCGCCTGACAAACAAAACTTTCTACCATACAAAATATTCCATCGCTAATCTTTGTCTTTATCTTTATTTTTATTCATATACGTAAGCTTGTGCCAAAGCCTATGTGAGTAAAGAAAACACCGCTAGAAGAGATCAGTGTCAAATAAGAATTTCTTTCCTTACTCACACAGGCTTTGGCACAAGCTTACGTATATAAATAAAATGGGCTAGTAAGATGGATTAGCAGGTACCTTCAGCAGGAACAAACAGCGAGTAAGGGCCTCAGGTGTCGAGGAAGAAAAAAATTTCTATTTGGTCAAGGGAGGTCAGGTGATTGGCACTGGGGAATGCCACTGCCACTTTTCCGGGCTGTACAAAACGTCAGCGACACCACAGACGCTTAGATACACCTACCTTATTCTGGGATAGCCATGCATGAAACGCAGCTGGTCTCAAGGAGCAGTGCTGTTGCTCATCCGAAAGTGTGACAAGCCAACCAAAGCGTGGTTAGTAAACACGATAAACCGAGAAACACGAAACACGATAAATCGAAAAACACATGAAGTCGTGAACCGACGTAGTAGCAAAGGATTTCACGAAAACGGCTGTCGTAAAGCGAAGTGGGGAAAGCAAAATCGGAAACACATGAGTCAACAAGCGGGGGTCAGCAAGAATAGACCAGAAGCAAGCTGTCATGAAAACAGACAGAAACAAGTCACAAGGGATTGTTCAGTAATTGGCAAATGTCAACTTTCCTTAGTTTCCTTTTGAACGCTTCACAGTTGTCAGCACTCAAAACTTCGCGAGGTATGCACCGTAACCATCTAGCTCCTCGACAAAAAATATAACTTATTAGGTTGTTCCGAAAGTAATGTCGCTTTTTTCAGACGTACGCCACATCTCTTGGAACAAAGATATGTAAGAGATTTTGGCAGCATTTGATGCAGCATTTCATTCTCTTTCTAATGGTTATAACAGCGCTCCACAAAATTCACCAACCTTTAAAAAATTATCAAAATCTGCCACACTTGCTTTTTCAGAAAGTCAAGTTTCACAATTTTTCTAAATTTTTATAACAACCCTCGGAAGGAGTCCAGTTAATGGATATAAAGAGCAAACTCTACAGGAAACGGCACAACTTTTTTTTACTTTCCAGAGCCCAACATAATTTTTATATAGATTTTTTGATGGAATTACCGAGTTTTAGCAGGCTTGTCTCAGACACAACTGCATCAAACACCAACAAATCTTCAGATTTTGAAACTCAGACGTATTATGGTTTGACACTTATTTTACAAACCAAATGAGCAATCACCGCTTCAGATTAGCAACTTTTGAAAATTCCGGGTACAGCCTGGGGCGCCCTGGAAAAACCTGGATTATGATGATTTTATCCCGGAAAACTATATGAATCGAAAACCAAAAAACAACTGGTAAAAGGAGGAGAAAAAGCTGCGTCGAATGACACCCGAGTTGCTTGCCGGTTGTTGTTCTTTGAGGTTTGAGATGCCAAATATGGAGTTTGATAGCATTGAAAAAGTCATTCAGGAAACTCTAAAAAGGAAGCAAGGAAAAGAAAAAATTACTTTGCGTCCTATAGGATCTGCTCTATCTAACTGTCACTTGTACTTCGTCGGAGAATAGGTACAAAAATTTAGAAAAATAGCCGAACTTGATCATGGCAAAAAGCATGAGTCGCAGATTCTGGTAATTTTTCGAGAGCTCATTAGATATTATGCAATGGAATCGCAACCATTAGAAAGAGGACGAAGCTGCATCGAATGCTGAATAGAGAGTTAAGATTATGAATGGAAAATTACGAAATGTTATGTGGACTGAAAGCGTGGCAAACTTGCAAACCTTTTTTGGAGTTAGATGGCGTTTGAGACACCTGGAGAGCCACCTAAGATTGCTTAAAGCAGAAAAGTCGTTAATTTCCCCTCCTTCACATAAATTTTTCATGCATTTTTATATAGCTTATCTAAATACATTTATCCTACAAACGTGTTTTGAACTTCCTTGAACCCGCTCCTCCCATCCTAGTTGCAGCCCTCCAAAAATTATGAATGGCAGCGGCGACCCTGCCTCAAAGCGCGGTCATGCGCGTCAGACGCAGTGCAACTCGGACAATTCGAACAATTGGGCTTTTCATCTTCTGTTCAAGGTTGTCTCTGTGTTCTACTTTGATCATTTTTTTGTTATTTATGCTTAGTTTTTATATAAGTTTGTTGTAAGAAATGCCGCATTCCATATAAAGTTAGCGGGAACTTGGGTTCCAAAAATTGCCGGAGCCACCTCGTGCCGAGGTCTGCTCCCGAAACAATTTAACCTCCAGTTTTTCTTTATCCTATAAAAATTCTCCCATTCTTTTTATATATTTTATGGGCTATCGGGAGCATCAGTAATCATACGAAGGAGTCCAAAAGTTTGAAGTTCTACACTAACGCTAGTTCGATGTACTTTAAAACCTTCTGTACTCTTCTTCTGTTAAGTGTAGCAAAACTTATGAAAAAACAAACTAATATGCTCCTTCGGGAGGCAGCAAAGAAAATATTGGGGGTGCGTAGCAAGTGTTACCCAGGCCCTGGTGCCGCAGCCAGCCGCCAGGACTGGCACCAACGCCGCGGCTGAGCTACCGTAAGCGCGCTCTAGTCGTCCGCAACCTCTCGCAGAGAGATTTTCGCAGCAGCCTCGCACCTCTTGCGCTGAGGTGCGAGAATGCCCTCAGAGGTCGAGCTACTGCCACATATTATATATCGATCAACACAGCGGAAAATTTGTAGTTTATTAGTGATATACATTACAAAAAATATACAAAAACAAAAAAAGTTAAATAAATAAATTGATGGAATGATGAAATCAAATTGAGTTCATAAAAAATATAAGATAGATTGTTGAATGGTGTTTTGGCACAATTCGTTGTGACCTTTGGGGCAGAAGACTTCTAACACCAACTAGGTCAGATATTAGAAAAAGTGTGCCACATATGGAGGTATAAAAGATGAAATGATGCTGAGCAGCTAAGATTCGAGATGTCAAACTCTCAGCTTTACAGCCTTCAGTCTGAGCATCTTGCTCAAATTACCTATGTAGAAAATCCTTCGCTTTTGGAGGTAATTTTTGATTTTTTGCTTGTTACCGAATCCTTTTGAAAATTTATCAATCCCAGAATCCGCTACCTGCTTCAAGCCAGCTCTACTCTTCAGCCGCTGAAACTCGTGAATTTCGTGGAGAACTCGAAATAAGTGAGCAGGGGGTTCACCCTGTAATTGTATATGATGTCCCAGGCTCTCCTCACCTTTGCTAAGTTTTTCAATATCACAAAAAAACCCCAAGGAGCGACAGGGCACTTTATACTTGTCGCGGATATAGGAGACAAAACAAGAAATATACGGTTGGTTGGTTCGAGGGGATCTACAAGGACATGTGGTACAAGTTCAACCTAGAGGAGCTCAGAATTACAAACGCGGCCGAAGCGTTCCATAAGTATATTTGATTTGCGCGTTGCAGTTGTCGTTTGCAGTTGTCGCGCTAGGCACTCTTCTCCATGTCTTGGAAGTTGCTCAAATTTTTGTTTGATATTTTCTAGTCCTATGCATTTGTAAAAAAAAAATTTCAGCATCCTCGAAGCGTGAAGCCATTACGAAAAAAGGATGTGTTGCGCCGAAATAAAATTATGGATGCGATGCGCAGCTTTAGAGAAGAATATGAGGCAGGAAGTTGCATACCAACAGCTTCTATAAATAGTTTTTGTATTAAAATGTCGAAATTTGTCACAGAGAAAACCATGGTTAACCACCAAATATTTGACAGCAGTGCGGATGTAAAATTGTAAATTTGATTGCGATTTTCATTTGTGGTTTTTAGTGTTGTTTTTTATTTATTAACCTTTTTTTGTTTTTGTATATTTTTTGTAATGTATATTACTAATAAACTACAAATTTTCCGCTGTGTTGATCGATATATAATATGTGGCAGTAGCTCGACCTCTGAAGGCATTCTCGCACCTCAGCGCGAGAGGTGCGAAGCTGCTGCGAAAATCTCTCTGCGAGAGGTTGCGGACGACGAGAGCGCGCTTACGGTAGCTCAGCCGCGGCGTTGGTGGCAGTCCTGGCGGCTAGCTGCGGCACCAGGCGGCTGCCTGGGTAACACTTGCACGCCTCCCAAATATTAGGGATGCAAAGTTGACGCACGTATCTCCCAAAACGGCAGAAAAGATTAGAGAAATTGTGTGAAATACATCATCTGATAGAGCAGAGCAAGCTCTACAAGACAGTATTTGAAATCGCAAAAGGTTTGATTTACGTGAAGGAGGAAGTTTCGAGTACCCAAAAATCACATTTCCGAACAGATTATGAGAACCTCCAACTTAGTCAAGCACATACTATACATATAAGATATTCATATGTATTCCGTATTTTTTTCGTAAATGGAAATTGAAAATGAAAATAATCAAAAAAAACCCGCGTTGTCGCC